GCAGCTGAAGGGGCTGGAGGACAGCTACAACAGGCGCCTGGACTTCCCCCGGGGCAGGTTCACCCTGGCGCCCTTTGGCTTCCTGTAAGCTCCTTCTTGGAGGTGGTGGAGAGTGGGAGGTGGTTGTCTCACAGTGTGGCTGGGGTGTCCTGTGGGGATAATTCCTGCATGTCCAGGGACAGCCAGTTCTGCTCCCAGTTCACCTCATCCATGTTCTGCGGGTGCTTGTCCTCTGCTGCTGGGACAGGATGGAGCCAAGGCAGTTTCTCCTCCCCCCACACCATGGTCTGGGCAGTGGGTCCCTCCACAGCTCCTGCCTCAGTTTCCCCACTGCTGTGCTCCCCCTTCCCTCCCTGATCTGGCTGCCAAGGTGCTCCCAGCACAAGTGCCTGCACTGGTATGGGATGAATAAATGGCTCCAGCCTGGATGGACAGACAGATAGAAAGAGGGCTCTGAGCCAGCTCAGCTCCTGTGCTGGGGTGTCGCCCACCTGCTGCCTCATATGTCTTGCTTCCCCTCAGGCTACTGCAGTTGGGGGGTGACCTGGAGGACCTGGAGTCTGCCCTGAACCGCTCCTCCCCGCAGCGTGTCCTGGGCTCAGGCTCCTGCTCTGCCCTGGTGAAGCTGCTGCCGGGCAATCGGGATCTCCTGGTGGCCCACGACACCTGGAACTCCTACCAGTCCATGCTGCGCCTCATCAAGAAGTACACGCTGCCCTTCCGCGCCTCGGCCGGCGGTGCGTGGGCTGGGCTGGGGGGGCTGCGCCTCACACCTCCCTTCTGATGCTCCCCTGCCTCTGCATCCCCCCTCAGGCAAGTCTCAGATCCCCGGGAGCATCCAGGTGTTTTCCTCCTACCCCGGCACCATCTTCTCCGCGGATGATTTCTACATCCTCAGCAGTGGGTTGGTGAGTGGGTGTGGCGCTCGGGGACCCCTCCCCGGCCCCGCTGCCCTGCCCATCACTGCCCTCCCCGCAGGTAGCGCTGGAAACCACCATCGGGAACAACAACCCGGCGCGGTGGAAGTACCTGGACCCGCGGGGCAGCGTCCTGGAGTGGCTGAGGAACATCGTGGCCAACCGGCTGGCCCGCAGCGGGCCCGAGTGGGCCACTGTCTTCCGGCGGTTCAACAGCGGCACGTGAGTGGGGTGGGATGGGGCACGGGAATTTGTCCCCAGGGCGAGGTGGGGTTGGATGGAAAGTCCCTGGGAGGAGGCTGGCTGCCAGAGGGACACAGTTCCTGTTCTCCATGCCAGGTACAACAACCAGTGGATGGTGGTGGACTACAACACCTTCACGCCACACAGAACGAGCCCATCACCGGGCGTGCTGACCGTGCTGGAGCAGATCCCGTGAGTGACCCTGTTCCTCCCTGAGCAGCAGCTCCTGCGCTGAGCTGAGCCACAGCAGAAGCATCTCCTCTCCCATCCCTGTGGGTTTGGGAAAGCCCTGAGGGTCATGTCTGCCCCAGCCCAATGGGTGGGCAGTGGGAAATGGAGATGTGAGTGTGTCTGTGGCTAAAGGCTCTGGGGATGCCTGTGTAGAGGTGATGGGTGCCCAGCACCCCTGGCTGGGCTGGGAACACGGTAAGGACCCCCAGCATGTGTCCCAGCCCATCCCAAGGCATCTCCCCTTATCCCCACTGGATTTTTCCTCTCTGCTCTGATCAGTGCTCTTCCTCCCAGCACAGGGGCCTGGTGGTGGAGGCTGATCTGACAGAGCTGCTGTACCAGCAGGGCTACTGGGCCAGCTACAATGTACCGTGAGTGCCATTCACCCCGTCCCACCCATGGCTGCCCCATAAAGGGGGGCAGCAGTGCTGGGCCTTGCCCCTCATCCCTCTGTTGAGTGCTGGGTCCCCCCACTCCAGGTACTTTGAAGAGATCTTCAACGCCAGCGGGAACCTGGAGCTGGTGAGGAAGTATGGAGACTGGTTCACCTACGACAAGAACCCGCGGGCCCAAATCTTCCGCCGGAACCAGACGCTGGTCCGTGACCTGGACTCCATGATCCGCCTCATGAGGTCTGTGCTGGGGACCCCCCAAACCCGGGTGTTCCACACCCCCCAGGGGTTTGCGACCCTTCGGTGTGATTTTTTTTTTTTTCATCATTGTAAATTTATGTTTTCCCCGTGACTCTCTCCTGACCTCTCTCCTGGCAGGTCCAACAACTACCTGCAGGACCCTCTGTCGCGGTGCAAGGGCTGCGACCCCCCCCAGAACGCCGAGAACGCCATTTCCGCCCGCTCCGACCTCAACCCCCCCAACGGCACCTACCCCTTCCCTGCCCTGCGCCAGCGCTGCCACGGCGGCACCGACATGAAGGTGGGGGATTCAGGCAGCCCCATTGAGGGGGGTCTGCACTTGGAGGGGTGCACCCCCCCACAGTTCCCCCAGGCTGTGCTGATTGACACCTCGTTTTGTTTCCCCGGCTCCAGGTCACCTCCTCGGGCATGGTCCCCTCCTTCGGGCTGGTGGCTGCCAGTGGCCCCACCTGGGATGATGTGCCCGCCTTCCGCTGGAGCACGTCCCCCTGCAGCTCCCTGCTCCACATGGGCCACCCGGACCTCTGGACATTCCCCCCAGTCAAGGTCCACTGGGACTGAACAGGCACCCATGGGCTGATCCTGTCCGTCCATCTGTGGGTGTCTGTCCTGTGCAGGGATCCCTCTTGGGGGGCAGCTGGGTGTGGGGGGACAGCAGCTCTGTAATACACGACCCCCTGGCTCTTTCTGCCTCTCAGATCCCGGTTGTGCTGCGCAGGGGGCTGAGCCCCCGCTGTGCCTCTTCCCTGCCGGTCCCAGGACCTGTCCCTGGGTGCTGACACCTGACTCGGGGGGTTCTTCCCAGAAAACAGCAGGTCCTGGGATCCTGGGGCTCGCCCGCGGGGCAGAGAGGAGGGCAGGGAGCTGGCGTGGCTGTGACAAATAAAGCGCTCTGTGGTGGTGGCGGTGCTGTGCTCTCTGCCGCGACTCTCCGGTGGCTGCTCTGAGGGTTGGGCTCACGCAGTGCTCTTTCTTGCCCCCCAGTAAGAGGGTGCTCCTGTTTCTGTGCTGGTGGGAGGGTGTGTGCCCAGCCAGGCCGGGCTCTTTTGGGGTGCAGGCTGCGGAGGGTTCTGTGTTGCTGTGTCAGGCTGGGTAACCGGTGTGGGGCAGAGCTGCTGAAATAGGGAAGCCCCAGTGCTCTCCCTCTAGGAGTGGGAGACCATCCTTGTCCCTTTTTCCTTCCCCTCTCAGGCACCTGTGTGCCCCCATTCCCAACCCCTTGGTGCAAAATCCTCTTGGGCAGCAGGTCCCTTGATCTGCCTCGTTAGGAATAACGAGGTCATTAGTGGGGGATTAATGTGCTGCTGCTCGGCAGGGCTTTGAAGGTGCCAGGTTCCCACCGGGGCTGGGGCCCCTGGGGCTCCTGGGGTCTGCAGGGGGGTGGGATGCAGCAGGTGTGGGCTGTTGGGGTGCTGGCATCCCAAAAGCTGGGATGGGCATACTGGACAAGGCGGGATGTCCATAACCCACTGTGTGGGGAGGGGTTGCAGGTAAGGTGGGGGTGGCAGAGCCTGTGTCCCCTGGTGTCCCCATGGTGTGTGGGCTCCTGTGGCAGGGGGAGCTGCTTGTGGGATCCCTGTGGCTCAGTTTTGCCAGATAGGAGATCTCCATCACCAAGTGAGGGAGCAGCAAGGAGGGACAAGCAGATTGGTGCCAAGGACAGGGCATGCTGGAATGGCAGCAGTGGCTGGGTTGCTGCTTCCCCTCCAACTTTTTTTTTTTTTTTAAGTGGAAAACCAGAAAGTTGTTAAATATCACCCCAGCTGCCACGGCGGTGTCACCCAGGGACTCTGGCCGAGGCAAATAAGCATTTGACAGCCTGGTATTGCCTTCCTTGAGGCAGGGAAGAATCAAAGGGTGGCAAAGGGGGAAGGAGGAGGTGGGTGTAGTGTGGAAAAGGACCCTGGAGCACCCCAGGGCTGAGCTAACATATGATGGTCTCACCAAGGGCATCCCCAGCCTCTTCCCTGTGAGCTGTTGGGGGCTCCTTGCAGCCCTTCCCCAGCTCCTGCCACCAAAGGCCCAGCCCTGTCCCATCCCATCAGGAGCAGGGTTGCCCTGCAGCTCTCGCTGCCTGTTAGCAAGGATGCTCCCAGGGGCCCTTGCAGCACAGCTTGGGTCAGGGTGTCACTGAAAATCAGGACTAAAACACTCCTTGCTTTATTTGCACTTTATTTTCAGTGCCAGGTGTGCAAGGGACATCTCTTCCTGTCAGACACACCACAACTTTGAATTACTGGTTTATTTACACTATAGAGATATTCAATTTGTTTCTTATATAAAGGTTGGACTATGTCAATTATTTCCCAGAGATTATTGGCTTATTAATTATTTCCTTATATGGAGTTGTTCACCTTCAGTTACCTAACTGAGAACCCTGGTCCTGTTTGATATGGAGATGTTCGTCTCCAGCCACAGCACTAAGACCTCTGGTTCCAGCCTGATATGGGCTTGATAAGCAAGTCTGTGCACCCAGGTATCCAGTGCATTAACTGTATCAACTTCTAGCTCCTCACTGGGTAACAATGGGACCAAAATCAGATATTCTGGGTCTGTCTTGTTGCTGTCTGCCTGGCAGTGAGTCAGAACTGAAGAGGGTGGGGATGTTCCTGGTGCACTCCCTTTGGCTGTGATGTGCAGGTGCCAGCTGCTGTGTGGTGTCTCCCTGCTGGGATTCCCAAGCAACCTCTGCTTTCAGACTGCTCCAGCTTGGCCCTCTCCAAGGGGTGATCAAGGGGCACTTTTGTAGGGGGGTCCCCCTGAACCAGACCCCTCCTGACCCTCTGCTGGGTGCCTGGCATGGCCAGCCGAGGCTGATGGTCTCATCTTGGGGGGCTCGCACAGCTGGAGGGACTGAGCCCCCCTGGGATGTGCAGCTTAGACAGGATCTGGGGCTGCTGTGGGGTGTGGGACTTGGCAAGGTGGGCATAGGGGTGTGATGGCTTGTTTGGAGGCAATGAGCGGTGTCTTACCTGGGTATTTGGGGTGTGCAGGCTGCCCTAGGTCAAATGGGCAAAGTCCTAAAATCTGCTGGGACATGTTTCTGATTGGACCTGAGAACAGCCAGTGCAAACCCTTAAAGACCCCCAGAATCATTTGGGAGCTGCTTCTCCCCTTCCCCCATCTCCCGGGCGCCCACATCCCATCTCCCGAGCATTCAAAGGCCGCTGGGATCTGGCTGCCAGGACCACACGTGCCTGTCCTGGCCAGGACACCCGGCAGCGTGCCCGGCCATGGCCAGGGGCCTTCGGCATCGATCCAGCCCCGCGGCTGTAAAACTCACACAGTGCTGAGCAAACAGATGGGCTGGGGCAAGGTCTGACCCCCGCCCCTTGCGCTGCTGCGCGCAGGGACCGGCACGGCCCCTCCGACGTCACCTCTCCCTTCTCTCTGTTCCCCAGACTCGGCGGAGGGTGAGCAGCTGGGGACACGCAGCGAGGCCCCAGGGGACACCAGGTAACCCCCACCCTGCGGTGACCCTGGCTGGGTTATGGGACAGGGCGTGCAGGGGCCACCTGCGGGCACCGGGGAAATGAGGTCCAGGAGGATGGAGGAGGGGATGCCACAGCCTGTCCCGGGGCTCCGACAGAGAGACCCCATAGGTGCTCCTACATCCTGGAGCTGGCATGGGTTGCTGCTTCCCCTCCAACTTTTTTTTTTTTTTTTAAGTGGAAAACCAAAAAGTTGTTAAATATCACCCCAGCTGCCACGGCGGTGTCACCCAGGGACTCTGGCCGAGGCAAATAAGCATTTGACAGCCTGGTATTGCCTTCCTTGAGGCAGGGAGGAATCAAAGGGTGGCAAAGGGGGAAGGAGGAGGTGGGTGTAGTGTGGAAAGGGACCCTGGAGCACCCCAGGGCTGAGCTAACATATGATGGTCTCACCAAGGGCATCCCCAGCCTCTTCCCTGTGAGCTGTTGGGGGCTCCTTGCAGCCCCTCCCCAGCTCCTGCCACCAAAGGCCCAGCCCTGTCCCATCCCATCAGGAGCAGGGTTGCCCTGCAGCTCTCGCTGCCTGTTAGCAAGGATGCTCCCAGGGGCCCTTGCAGCACAGTTTGGGTCAGGGTGTCACTGAAAATCAAGACTAAAACACTCTTTGCTTTATTTGCACTTTATTTTCAGTGCCAGGTGTGCAAGGGACATCTCTTCCTGTCAGACACACCACAACTTTGAATTACTGGTTTATTTACACTATAGAGATATTCAATTTGTTTCTTATATAAAGGTTGGACTATGTCAATTATTTCCCAGAGATTATTGGCTTATTAATTATTTCCTTATATGGAGTTGTTCACCTTCAGTTACCTAACTGAGAATCCTGGTCCTGTTTGATATGGAGATGTTCGTCTCCAGCCACAGCACTAAGACCTCTGGTTCCAGCCTGATATGGGCTTGATAAGCAAGTCTGTGCACCCAGGTATCCAGTGCATTAACTGTATCAACTTCTAGCTCCTCACTGGGTAACAATGGGACCAAAATCAGATATTCTGGGTCTGTCTTGTTGCTGTCTGCCTGGCAGTGAGTCAGAACTGAAGAGGGTGGGGATGTTCCTGGTGCACTCCCTTTGGCTGTGATGTGCAGGTGCCAGCTGCTATGTGGCGTCTCCCTGCTGGGATTCCCAAGCAACCTCTGCTTTCAGACTGCTCCAGCTTGGCCCTCTCCAAGGGGTGATCAAGGGGCACTTTTGTAGGGGGGTCCCCCTGAACCAGACCCCTCCTGACCCTCTGCTGGGTGCCTGGCATGGCCAGCTGAGGCTGATGGTCTCATCATGGGGGGCTCGCACAGCTGGAGGGACTGAGCCCCTCTGGGATGTGCAGCTTAGACAGGATCTGGGGCTGCTGTGGGGTGTGGGACTTGGCAGGGTGGGCATAGGGGTGTGATGGCTCGTTTGGAGGCAATGAGCGATGTCTTACCTGGGTATTTGGGGTGTGCAGGCTGCCCTAGGTCAAATGGGCAAAGTCCTAAAATCTGCTGGGACATGTTTCTGATTGGACCTGAGAACAGCCAGTGCAAACCCTTAAAGACCCCCAGAATCATTTGGGAGCTGCTTCTCCCCTTCCCCCATCTCCCGGGCGCCCACATCCCATCTCCCGAGCATTCAAAGGCCGCTGGGATCTGGCTGCCAGGACCACACGTGCCTGTCCTGGCCAGGACACCCGGCAGCGTGCCCGGCCATGGCCAGGGGCCTTCGGCATCGATCCAGCCCCGCGGCTGTAAAACTCACACAGTGCTGAGCAAACAGATGGGCTGGGGCAAGGTCTGACCCCCGCCCCTTGCGCTGCTGCGCGCAGGGACCGGCACGGCCCCTCCGACGTCACCTCTCCCTTCTCTCTGTTCCCCAGACTCGGCGGAGGGTGAGCAGCTGGGGACACGCAGCGAGGCCCCAGGGGACACCAGGTAACCCCCACCCTGCGGTGACCCTGGCTGGGTTATGGGACAGGGCGTGCAGGGGCCACCTGCGGGCACCGGGGAAATGAGGTCCAGGAGGATGGAGGAGGGGATGCCACAGCCTGTCCCGGGGCTCCGACAGAGAGACCCCATAGGTGCTCCTACATCCTGGAGCTGGCAGAAAACACTGTGGACGGTCCTTTCCCTCCCAAAGGGCTCCTGTGCCCCACACCGAGCCTGGCGTGGTCATCGAAGCTGTTGGGGGGACCCATAGGGAGGATCTGGTAACTCCACCACCTGTCCCTGCCAGAGCATCCATTGCCAGGACCATGGCAGCCCAGCCTGGTGGGAGCCAGAAGCCCTTCCACGTCGTCTCACCCGTGCTGGAGAGCCTGCCCCTCTCCAAGGCAGCGGGCACCAAGGTCTTCATGAAGCTGGAGAATGTCCAGCCCATGGGCTCCTTCAAGATCCGGGGCATCGGGCACCTCTGCCAGGAGGTGGGTGTGGGCACGGTGTGGGCAGGGAACTGTTCCCGCCCTCCCGGGGGACACGACAGGTGGACACAGCCAATCCCTTCCCTTTTTTTCTCCCACCTTTCAGGCTGCCAAGAAGGGCTGTCGCCGATTTGTCTGCGCCTCAGGTAACTCCATCCCGAGCTGATTCCCTGAGGAATCTGGGGACGTATGGGGGTCAGGCCCTGCCTGAGCCACTGCCTCCCACAGGGGGGAATGCTGGCATGGCAGCAGCATATGCAGCCAAGAAGCTGGGGCTGCCCATCACCGTGGTGATCCCCAGCAGCAGCGGCCCCATCCCCAAGCGCAAGCTGGAGGAGCTGGGGGCGACCGTGGAGGTCTATGGCAAGGTAAAAACTGGGGCCTGGGGGGGGCCAGAGGGGGCTGAGCCTGACCATCCCAAAATGTCCCCCTCCTCCATCACCTGCACCCTGGCATGGCAGCAAGGTCACCCTTGGGACCCCCACCCGCTCTGGTGTCCCCCAGGCCATGGTGACAAGGGACACATCCCTGGGGTGTGAGGGCTTGTAGTGGGTTGGCCCTGGCTGGATGCCAGGTAGCCACTAAAGCCTCTCTCAGTCCTCTCTGCAACTGGACAGAAGAGAGAAAAAAAAAACCAAACCAAAAAAAAACCCCAAACAAGAAACAGTGAAGGATTCAGGAGTTGAGATAACAGCTGGGAGAGGTCACTTACTGATCACCATCATGGGCAAAACAGGCTCAAAGTGGGGATATTGATTACGTTTATTACTAATAGGATCAGACCAAAAGAGTAAGAAGTAAAATAATCTTAAAAACACCTTCCCCCTGACCCCTCCTTCTTTCTAAATTCTCCCTCCTCCCTACCAGCAGTGCAGGGAGACAGGAAATGGGGTTACAGTCAGTTGTTGTTTCTGCTGCTGCTCAGGGAGAGGAGTTGAGTCCTTCTCTTGTTCCTGTGGGGTCCCTCCCACGGCAGACAGTGCTTCACGGACCTCTCTGGTGGGAGTCCATCCCACAGGCAACAGTTCTTTCCAAACTGCTGTCCCGTGGGTCACTCCTCCATGGGGTGAAGTCCTTCACAAATGAGCTGTACCGATGGGCGTTCCCCACAGGGGCCACAAGTCCTATCTGGGCAAAACCTGCTCCAGAGTGGGCTTCCCTCTTCACTGGCTGCAGGTCCCTGGCAGGACCCTGCTCCATCCTGGGCCTCCCACGGGCTCACAGCCTCCTTCCTGCATCCACCTGCTCCAGTGTGGGCTCCTCCATGGACTGCAGGGAGGTCTCTGCACCCAGATGATCCCCCATGGGCTGCAGGGGCACAGCTGCCCCACCATGGTCTGCACCACTGGCTGCAGGGCCTCAGTGCCTGTGCCTGGAGAACCTCCTGCCCCTCCTGCGCTGACCTTGGTGTCTACATTGTTGTTCCCATGTTCTCGCTCCGCCCTTCCCTGGCTGGAATTTTCGTCTGCACAATAACTTTCTGTTCTTAAATATGTTATTGTCACAGAGGCGTTACTGTCACTCCTGACTGGCTTGGCCTTGGCCAGGGGCAGGAAGCCCATCCTGGAGCCGGCTGGCACTGGCTCCACCAGACAGGGGAAGCTTCCAGCAGCTTCCAACAGAAGCCATCCCTGTAGCCCCTCCCACCCCCGCTACCAAAACCCAGCCACAGAAACCCACTACAGGGCTGTATGGAGCCCTTCTGAGCCCCCATTGCCCTCCACCCCAGGCATTTGATGATGCAAACAAGAGAGCCCAGGAGCTGCTGAAGACGGAGGGCTGGGTCAGCATCCACCCCTTCGATGACCCCTTGGTGTGGTGAGTGCTGCCAGGGCCCAGCTACCACCCCTGATCCCCATCCCTGGGATATGGGCTGGCTCGGGGTGCCCCCAGGCTATATCTTCCTGCTCGCCTTGCCCCGCAGGCAGGGTCACACCAGCCTGGTCCGGGAGCTGAAGGACTCTCTGGAGACCAAACCAGATGCCATCGTGCTGTCGGTGGGCGGCGGGGGGCTGCTGGCAGGTGTCGTGGAGGGCCTGCAGCAGGTGGGCTGGCAGGATGTCCCCATCATCGCTGCTGAGACCCAGGGAGCCCACAGCTTCCACGAGGCACTGAAAGCCGGACGGCTGGTCACCCTGCCTGACATGACCAGGTGAGCGGCCATGTGTGCAACGAGCGGGCAGGGCTCAGCCCAGCTCACTGAGGGGTCCTGAGACTGCCCTGACCACCTTGTCCCCTCATGTCCCAGTGTGGCCAAGTGCCTGAGAGTCAAGACAGTGGCAGCACGGGCGCTGCAGTGCGCCCAGGAGTGCCAGATCATCTCCCAGGTGGTGGAGGACACCGAGGCTGTGGGGGCTGTGGAGCAGTTCCTGGGTGAGTGGGGCCAGCCGGGCATCACGGGGGCGATGGGGAAACCACCGGATCCTGGGAGGTGCTGGAGCCAGGGTGCTGGGGGCTCCCTGTCTCAGCAGGCGGTCCCTGCAGGTGTCAGGATGTCCTGGTGGTCTTGTCCCCACAGATGACGAGAGGATGCTGGTGCAGCCGGCGTGCGGGGCCGCCCTGGCCACGCTCTACACGGGGCGGCTGCAGCGGCTGCAGCGCGAGGGGAAGCTGCGGACCCCGCTGGGCTCCGTGGTGGTCGTGGTCTGCGGGGGCGGCAACATCAACATGGCACAGCTGCGAGCCCTGAAGAGCCAGCTGGGGATGGAGTGACACCCACCCCGAGGCAGGGGACACGGCAGAGCCTGGCTGGCACCCTCTGCTTGCTTTCCTTCCGAAATAACCAAAATAAAGCCTGGTGGACGCAGGGCTGGACTCCTCCCACAGCCTTCCCCAGCGCACAGCGTCCATGCAGGGATGGGAAAACTGAGGCACGCCGAGCTTGGGCTCACACTGCAGACAGGGCTGGAGCCAGGGCCCTGCCTCTGCTGAGAGCAGGACTGGCGTCCACACATCCCACTCTTCCACTGGGACATGCCAGGTATCCTTCCCTACACCCCCACCCTCCGTCTCCCCACTTCCGTCCCCCTCCTCTCCCTCCGCTGCTCCTCCGCGGGCTGTTTGGGCTGCAGCTCCCCACCTCGCTTAGCAAGCGCTCCCTCTCTGACTAATTACTTTGCTACTGTCTTTATGCATTATTATTCTAACGATTATTAATTATTACACTCCTCTGCCGTTGCTGCCGAGCTGGCTGCGGTCAGACAAGAACAACGCGTGCGGACGCGCTTGTTACAGTGATTTATGGGCGGAGATCCCCGGGCGGGTTTAACACCCCCAGGCTCCAAGGTGCTCCAACACGTGGGGGTGTGTGTGCTCCATCCTGGACCCCCTAAGATCCCGGCTTTTTCTACTCTTTTTTCCATTCCCTCCCTTTCCCTCAGGCTTTCCTGCTCTCCCCCAGTCTCACTCTGTACTGCTGAGTTTGCTTTAATCCTTTGCTATGGCACCTCCTGGGGTTTTTTTGTCTCCTCCCAACATTTCTCCCCCTTCCTTCCTCCCTTCCCTGGGCGATGTGAGGTCTTGCTCCCTCTGGGCTTCCCCCGCTTCAGCTGGTTCCCCCACTGAACCTGTGCCCTGAGCATCACCCAGTGATGTTGGGCAGGGTGTCCCCAAACCCTTCTCACCCTCCTCCTCCCTTTTGGAGCAGAGGGGGCTCAGCTCCAGGACCAGCTCAGCCCCCCAGATCACCGACATCCCTCCCCACAGCCCTTTCCCCTGACCTGGCTGCCAGGCCCCCAGAAACACCCTCCTTGCCTTTGGCCCCTTGGCTCCCCCCATACCACCCACCAGCCAGGCCACCTCCCCCAGGTGCTTCTTGGAGGCCAAACTCCCATAAATCAAAACTCTGCTGCTCCATCGTGAGCAATATCTTATGTAAAAAGGTGTTTCCAGGGAGCACCGAAGGCTGCAGAATCCTATTACGAGGCACACTATTAATTATAAGGAGTCAGCCCAGCTATTTTTTATCCCAGGTCCAAAACCTGATTACTTTCCACCTTCTGCAGACCTTCCCCTTCCAAAAAAACAACAACAACAACAACAAAGGGAAAAAGGTCAGGGAAAAAAAAAGAAAAGCATTGATGTTTCACCAATAGCTTTTAAAAAAGGAAATTATTCCCAGGACTGATGCTGCTCTGGGGGTGTCAGGGCAGTTGGGAGCTCATGGTGGTGTTTCCCCAGCATGGTCTCATAGAAGGGTCATTGCTGGTTGTGACGTGGGCGTGACTGTGCGGTCTGGGTGACTTCCCTGAGCACCCCAACAGGGAGCTTTGCCCTCTCCTTGCCGTGATGAGGGAGCACTTGGGCCAGGGTGCCAGCTGGGAGGATTGGACTTTGGATGTCCCTGGCAGGGATTTGGAGGTGCAGGTTACCTGGAGGACACACCAGTGGGGGTGGCATGGCCCCAGCTGGTGGGGGATCACCCGTGGTCACCCTGCAGGTGGAGGCAGGCAGGAATTCTGAATGCTGGTGCCTTCCTGGGACTGCTGTGGGGATGGGGACCCTGCCCCTGGCTCCAATGGGGACCCTGTCTGCCATGGGGATCCCCGATGTAGTTGTGATGCTGTACCCCAACGCTGGCTGCACTGGGGACCACAACCCCAGGTTTGGCTCCTAATATAATATAATATATTATTATATATTATATTAATATATTATATATTATATTATATATTATATATATTATATATATAATATATATTATATATATTATATATTATATATATTGTATTATATATTATATATTATTATATATTATATAATATAAGAAGAAGAATAATTTTAACAATAATATTTTAATAATATTATTTTAATAAAAATGATTTGATTATAATATTACTTTGTAAAACTTTTAAACAATAACAATAATAATTAACAACATTATTAATAATAATAATGTTAATAATAATAATTATAATATTATAATAATATTAATATTATTATTAATAATAATAATAATGTGAATGACCTTGTGTTCCACTTTATACTCCTCAAAAATGACTCTCGGAAGGGTTTCTTTACCAACATACTGCGCTGTCCCTACAAAAACCTAAACTCCACTACCTAAAGCCGACCACGCCCAGGCTCCGCCCAAGGAGGGCGTGGCCACAACATTACCACGCCCCCCAACTAAATTTCCCCTGTATTGGATGGGGGCGTGGTCGCGTCTAAGCCCCGCCTTCGCGCTTTTCCCATTGGTCACTGCGTTGCAAAGGAGGCGTGGCCTTCTTCTGCCCCGCCCCTGCCATGGCGGTGACCCTGTTTTCCCTTTTGGTCCCGTCCGTCCGTGGGTGTCGGGATCCCTTTGGGGGCAGCTGAATGTGGGGGGACCGCAGCTCTGTGACACACCGCCCTCCCCTGGCTCTTTCTGCCTCTCAGATCCCGGTTGTGCTGCGCAGGGGGCTGAGCCCCCGCTGTGCCCCTTCCCTGCCGTACCAGGACCTGTCCCTGGGTGCTGACACCTGACTCAGGGTGGGTTCTTCCCAGAAAACAGCAGGTCCTGGGATCCTGGGGCTCGCCCGCGGGGCAGAGAGGAGGGCAGGGAGCTGGCGTGGCTGTGACAAATAAAGCGCTCTGTGGTGGTGGCGGTGCTGTGCTCTCTGCCGCGACTCTCCGGTGCCTGCTCTGAGGGTTGGGCTCACGCAGTGCTCTTTCTTGCCCCCCAGTAAGAGGGTGCTCCTGTTTCTGTGCTGGTGGGAGGGTGTGTGCCCAGCCAGGCCGGGCTCTTTTGGGGTGCAGGCTGCGGAGGGTTCTGTGTTGCTGTGTCAGGCTGGGTAACCGGTGTGGGGCAGAGCTGCTGAAATAGGGAAGCCCCAGTGCTCTCCCTCTAGGAGTGGGAGACCATCCTTGTCCCTTTTCCTTCCCCTCTCAGGCACCTGTGTGCCCCCATTCCCAAACCCTTGGTGCAAAATCCTCTTGGGCAGCAGGTCCCTTGATCTGCCTCGTTAGGAATAACGAGGTCATTAGTGGGGGATTAATGTGCTGCTGCTCGGCAGGGCTTTGAAGGTGCCAGGTTCCCACCGGGGCTGGGGGCCCCTGGGGCTCCCTGGGGTCTGCAGGGGGGTGGGATGCAGCAGGTGTGGGCTGTTGGGGTGCTGGCATCCCAAAAGCTGGGATGGGCATACTGGACAAGGTGGGATGTCCATAACCCACTGTGTGGGGAGGGGTTGCAGGTAAGGTGGGGGTGGCAGAGCCTGTGTGCCCTGGTGTCCCCATGGTGTGTGGGCTCCTGTGGCAGGGGGAGCTGCTTGTGGGATCCCTGTGGACAGGGCATGCTGGAATGGCAGCAGTGGCTGAGTTACTGCTTCCCCTCCAACATTTTTTGTTTTTTTTTAAAGTGGAAAACCAGAAAGTTGTTAAATATCACCCCAGCTGCCATGGCGGTGTCACCCAGGGACTCTGACCTGGCATTGCCTTCCCTGGGGCAGGGGTGGAGCCAAAGGAGTTCCGTCAGGAGCAGGGCTGCCCTGGACCTCTCGCCTTGCTCGATGTCTGTCAGTAAGAGTGCTCTCAGAGGAGCTTTGAGGCAGAGTTTGGGTGAGGGTGTCACCGAAAATCGGGACTAAAGCCCTCTAACACCCTTTGTAGTATTAGAAAGCTTTATTTGCACTTTATTTTCAGTGCCAGGCCTCGTGAGAGATAGCCCTTCCTATCACACCCTTGAATTGCTGGTTTATTTTCATCATAAAGATATTTAACCTGTTTCTTGTAAGAAGGCCGGACTATGTTAATTACTTCCCTGAGTTTATTAGCATATTAATTATTTCCTCATATGGACTTGTTTGCCCTCAATTACCTAACTGAGAGTCCTGGTCCTGTTTGATATGGAGATGTTCTTCTCCAGCCACAGCACTAAGACCTCTGTTGCCAGCCTGATATGGGCTTGATAAGCAACCCCATGCACCCAGATATCCAGTGCATTAATTACAACTTTTAGCTCCTCGTTTGGTAACAAGGGGACCAAACCCATATATTTTGGGTTCTGTTTTATTGCTGTCTGCCTGGGACAGCCCTGTCTTTCCCAAGGGGCTCCTGTGCCCCGCACCAAGACTTGGGGTCGGCAACGGGCCTGTGGGGAGGGACTCATGACTCCACCACCTCTCCTTGGCAGAGCATCCATTGCCAGGGCCATGGCAGCCCAGCCTGGTAGGGATCAGAAGCCCTTCCACATCACCTGGCCCGTCCTGGAGAGCCTGCCCCTCTCCAAAGCAGCAGGCACCAAGGTCTTCATGAAGCTGGAGAATGTCCAGCCCACGGGCTCCTTCAAGATCCGGGGCATCGGGCACCTCTGCCAGGAGGTGGGTGTGGGCACGGCATGGGCGGGGGGCTGCTCCCACTCTCAGGGGGGTCACAGCCATCCTCTCCCCTCTTTCTCTCCTGCCTTTCAGGCTGCCAAGAAGGGCAGGGCTGGACTCCTCCCACAGCCTTTTCCAGCACACAGCGTCCATGCAGGGATGGGGAAACTGAGGCACGCGGGGCAGACAAACTTGGGCTCACACTGCAGACAGGGCTGGAGCCAGGGCCCTGCCTCTGCTGAGAGCAGGACTGGCGTCCACACATCCCACTCTTCCGCTGGGACATGCCAGGTATCCTTCCCTACACCCCCCACCCTCCGTCCCCCCCCTTCCGTCCCCCTCCTCTCCCTCCGCTGCTCCTCCGCGGGCTATTTGAGCTGCAGCTCCCCACCTCGCTTAGCAAGCGCTCCCTCTCTGACTAATTACTTTGCTACTGTCTTTATGCATTATTATTCTAACGATTATTAATTATTACACTCCTCTGCCGTTGCTGCCGAGCTGGCTGCGGTCAGACA